TGATCGTTCTCCCATGCATTCTGCCACAACATATGGTGCATTTTCTGGGAAATGTCAGTTGAGCTGGCTCTTAGGCCACTGCTGGTGGGAGTGGACTTCGGGGCACTTGCTTTGGGCTCTGGGACCCAAGGAAGGAGTGCCACTGGCACATTCGCCAGTTCTTGACCTCATGGGGCCCAGAGGGACTGCAGCGTCTCAGTGCTCCAGTGAACCCAAAAGAGGCAGGAAACAGCTTTCTGGGACTTCTCAGTAGTGAAGTCAAAATCAGATGTCTGACATTATAAGTTTTTCCCTGGGGAAACAGTACTGAGTTCTGGACTGTCATATGGGACAGAAGAGGTAACTGGCTCCTTCATAGGTAATTATTTACCTCAGAATAGCTCAGGTTATCTAGAGCAGCAGTTCTCAACTTGTGGGTCATGACCCCTTTGGGGGTTGAATGACCCTTTCACAGAGGTCCCCTAAGACCATTGGAAAACACATATATAATTACATATTGTTTTTGTGATTAATCACTGTGCTATTATGTTCATCAATTTGTAACAATGAAAATACATCCTGCATATCAGATATTTACATTATGATTCATAACAGTAGCTAAGTTAAAGTTGTGAAATAGCAATAAATAATTTTATGGTTGGGGGTCACCACAACATGAGGAACTGTATTAAAGGGTTGTGGCATTAGGAAGGTTGAGAACCGCTGATATAGAGGAAAGGCTTCTAGATGGCATTCACCATCTCTGGGACTTTCCAGGAGGGCAGTCAAAACTCAGACTGGCTAAGGGTCTGAGTCTGGCCTGCATTCCTGGGAAGTTTTCTACTGCCTCTGTTCAGGGACTTGTTCTGTATCTCTGTGCAATTGAAACCAATTTGGTGAATGCAGGGTATTCTGTGGTGTAAATGTGGCACATGCCATTGTAAAAATGTTTTTATGTTTGTTTGTTTCTGTTTTGTTTTTATAAAAAACCATTCTAAACCTCTCCCACGTTTCCATGGTGATTCAAAGTTTTTAGTGGGGAATGTTATCTGTCTTTATTGTTTAAATATGTCTCTTCGTTGTTTGTTTAAATTGTTCAGCTAGTGAAATTTGTTTATGTCTCTTAAAAAATATGAATGTATTGTTAATCTGAGGAATGTTAATTATTTAATCCTGTCTTAAATCCTGTTTTAAGGCATCTTGCAAATCCCGTCTTAATCCTGTCAATCCTGTTTTCATTGAGTCAAGGAAATCCTGTCTTCCCTAAATCAAGGCATCTTATAAATCCTGTCATTCTTAAATCAAGGAAAAAGGGGTTATTGGGGACTATAGGGTAAAACTAGTCCCCCGAGAGTTAAAAAGGATGTGTGAAATAGACTGGCCATCTGTTGGAGTAGGATGGCCAACAGAGGGCATATTGGATGCGCAAATGAGAAGTGTCTGATCTACCCAGCGTCTGCAGCTGAGTGCTAGGCGGAGGCGGCGGACTTCCTTATATGCGCACTCCTATGCTAATGAGGTGACATCACTGCCCGCCGCTTAACTCTTGGTGCAACTTGTAGAGGTCAGACTACACCCTTCATCTTCTCTAAGAAATTGGGTGATATCTCTAAATATTTGGGGGGTAGGGGGATGTTAGAATAAGTAGATAAAAGAAAATATGAGCTGGGAGAGGAAGCCTACTTGGCGTTTGGGGTCCCCACACCGCGTCCACTAATACACGCTAACCGCAATTAGGAGGGGAAAATCAAATGAGCAAGATTCCAGTCTCCAACATGTCCTTCATAAACACTTTCCCCTTTTACTGGTATGTCTTTAATCACAATGGATTTTTGCAGCAGCCTGCAAACCTGCTATTGGGGACTGGAGCAGGATAACCAAGAGCCTGCGTGTACCTAGGGAGACAGTCATTCTTTTCCTGCGAATCTGGCTTTGACTAATGGAGCCATCTCCAAGCGAGGGTGTGGTGGGACCTCGTAGGAGGGCCTCGCCCATTGTGGGGTGCGATTCTTGGGCTTCAGTTTTTCAGTCCCCTTTGTTTCCTCCAGGGTGTTCTCCATGACTTGCGTAGGAGGAAAAATACTCTAGAATGATTTTTTTTTAATTTATAATAAAAAAAAGAAGAAAGGAAAGCCTAGCCCAGTAGCTCAGTTGGTTAGAGCACCAAGTGAGTGCAAAAAAAAAAAAAAAGAGGAAAGCCTAGCCCAGTTGGTTAGAGCAGCATCTTCTCTCCTTTCCCCTCCTCTCTGCTCTCTTCTCTTTTCAGAATCAATACAATTTTTTAAAATTTAAAAAAGTATATCAAGTTCCAGTTCTGTTATTGACTTGCTGCTTGACAGTGAAGAAGTTATTTTACTTTTCTGTTCCTTATTTTTCTAAATACTAATACTGATTGCTAAGAAAACACACTAGATGCCAAATATAGCAATCCAGTTATCTCAAAAACCTGAAGATAAAATTTAAAAAAAATGAAATCTATATTTGAAAGAGAGCTTTTTCCACAAGACATTTTGAGGTGCATCTTAAAGTACTATCCAGATATATGGAAGGTTTAGGAATGGAGCAGCTATTTTCAAAATGGCATATCTGTGAGTACCAGTGACACCCTTGCTACTGAAACTAGTTACAAATGCTGCAAGAAAGGAAAAGGACTCCTTGAGATTATTTTGAAATGCAAAGCAGTATGCACAATATTCCTTCTCTCTTTCTGCACCCTGAGGGAATGTTTTCAGAAATCCCTTGCAATCATGCATGTGGCAAGGCTTGTCTAGCTAGTGTTTAGAGTCAACTGTTACACACACTTTTAAAAGCCACTGCAGGGGCAGCTGGGGCTTCCCCATTTCTTCATTCACAGGACTTCCTTTTTAAGGTGTGTGAGAGAAAAGACAGAAGTGGGGATTTCCCCTTTCTATTCTTTTTTAGTTCTTATGGCTGGACTAATGATAAAAGTGACATAGAACTAGATTAACAGGAGGAAAACCAATTGAATACATGACATGGAAGAATAACAATATGATGCAGATTATAAAATTGTTGTGGCAGAATGTACAGGAAAATGATCAGCCAGCACTCTGAGGGAGGAAAGGTTAACCTTTATTTCAAAGATCTGTTAGACCAGGAGAATTCTGGATCTAAAGCCAGAACTAAACTAGTGGGGAGGCTCTGACCTATATATCTCCTCCTGTGGTAGGCCCCTGAGGATCCCTGCAGCTCCACCTATCAGTCTTGGTGGGGCCCTAGTGTTAGGATCTGCAGCTCTACCCAAGTCAGTCAGAAAGGGGAGGTAAGATTACAGTTTTAACCAGATACTGAACTAGGTTGCAAGCTCCCCCCACCCCCATTTTTTTTTCATTACTCCCTCTTGAAGTTATTCTTAGCCTTGGGGATTACAAAAGACTCAGGAATTGGGGATAAGGTCAACGACATCTCTAGCTACTTCCTGCTGAAGGAGGGCAACAAAAAAGGGGGTTCAGTATCCCGAGTCTTCACCATCTTCCCCAAGAGGGTCATCAGAGTAGCAAGGGCAGAGAAGTTCTCCTCCTGGTACCAGTCTGGAGTTCCAGCTACACTTGTATGAAGAGAGCATAAAACTGTTAGAAAAAAAAAATAATTATTATTATCCAGCTATAAGGAATAAGGAGATTGAGATCAGTTAGCCATATCCATCATCTTCTTGAAGATGATCCACAGGAGGTAGTTCAGGTCAGAGGTCACCTTCCATTCTGGATGCTGATGGTCCAGTCCAGCTGGTGGGCTGCTTTTACCTGGGAATGGTGGATCCAGGTGTTCAGTCCTGCAACTTTGAGAGATGAGGGGGTGGTTAGTACGAATGGATAAGGTCCCTTCCACGTTGGCTTAAGGGATTTCTTTTTCCAATCTTTTGCCCAAACCTGGTCCTCAGACTTGAGGGGGTGCACAGCTGTTCCTAGAGAGATGGGCAGTCAGTAACCCATCTATGGACTTCAAGGATAGTTTTCTCAAGTCCTCGTAACTGTTTTTTAATTTCTAAGTTCCCTATTTCCCCCAAATCTCCTTTTGGCTGAATTAAGGGAAGGGGTCTGCCCTATAGAATTTCAAATAGAGAGAACCCTACCCTGGCTCTCAGGGCACAGTGCACCCGCAGGAGCACAAGTGGTAAGATATCTGTCCAGGGTAAGTTTGTCTCCTGGCATACCTTAGCCATCGCCTTCTTGAGAGTCCAGTTCATGTGTTTTACTTTCCCTGAACTCTGGGGCCTATAGGCTATATGTAAGTTCCACTTAATTCCTAAGGCCTTAGCTACCTGCTGTACTGGCTCAGCTATAAAGGCTGGAAAACTGAAGCCCAAGAATCGCACCCCACAATGGGCGAGGCCCTCCTACGAGGTCCCACCACACCCTCGCTTGGAGATGGCTCCATTAGTCAAAGCCAGATTCGCAGGAAAAGAATGACTGTCTCCCTAGGTACACGCAGGCTCTTGGTTATCCTGCTCCAGTCCCCAATAGCAGGTTTGCAGGCTGCTGCAAAAATCCATTGTGATTAAAGACATACCAGTAAAAGGGGAAAGTGTTTATGAAGGACATGTTGGAGACTGGAATCTTGCTCATTTGATTTTCCCCTCCTAATTGCGGTTAGCGTGTATTAGTGGACGCGGTGTGGGGACCCCAAACGCCAAGTAGGCTTCCTCTCCCAGCTCATATTTTCTTTTATCTACTTATTCTAACATCCCCCTACCCCCCAAATATTTAGAGATATCACCCAATTTCTTAGAGAAGATGAAGGGTGTAGTCTGACCTCTACAAGTTGCACCAAGAGTTAAGCGGCGGGCAGTGATGTCACCTCATTAGCATAGGAGTGCGCATATAAGGAAGTCCGCCGCCTCCGCCTAGCACTCAGCTGCAGACGCTGGGTAGATCAGACACTTCTCATTTGCGCACCTCGCTCAGGTGAGCTCTAGGGCCCCTGCCTCCAGCGCTTGGGTGGTTCCCCTTCCCTTCTATTTCGGCATCCTTAAAGCTGAGCTCCTGGGAAGGGCTGCCTTGGGGAGCTTGGAAATGCCAAATCCTTCCAGATGTTGGGTAACAGGGTCCCGAGCGGGGTGATTAAAAAAAAAATTACCTGATGTTTTGTTATTGCAGCTACCAGGGAGCGGGTTTTTACTTCTTTCTCCCAGACCCTTTGTTCCAACTCAGGCACAAGAGCCTGAGCGGCAACAATTGCAATTCTTCTCCAGCCTCGGATGGCTCCGTGGACTGCATCTGTCCAGATTTAGGACGTCCAGGCAGTATGGAAAGCCCTCCTTGCTGGGAAATGCGTGCGGAGGCTGCCGAATTGCGTGCCCAGGTTACAGATGAGGCTGATTTATGAGTGCTGGCAGCTTTGTGCGGCTCCCGCATTGTTGCGCGCCAGGGAGGAAGCGGGCAGGGCGGTGTTCAGCGCCGCAGCAGCTACCGCTGCCTTAGAGACAAAAGAAAGCGCATTTCCAGGAACAGAGAACACTCAGAGGAAATGCTCAGCCCTGGCTTTATTTGAAGAATTTTCACTCGCCCTTTTTCCCCCTTTAAACTCGCTGTTATGTCCTCCTCTGTGTCAGATTTTGATATTGAAACGCTGTAGTGAAACCCGCAGTACCCCATCGATCTTCCCAGCCTGGGCCCAGCATTTTGAGAGATTGAAACTGTGGGACGGAGATGGGAGGTGGAATGGGACTTCTTTTTTTTTTTTTTTTTTTTGTAGAGAGATCTTTAGTTGTGAATGAAAGCCGAAGGAAGGAAAGGGGAGGTTCCAGTCAGGGGAGGAGAGTACAAAGCAGCACATTTAGAAGAAAGGAGGCTGGGTAGACTCCTCTCACCCCTCCTCCTGGCTTTGTATTTGCAACTTCCTCTGTCACCATGTCCGACAAACCCGATATGGCTGAGATAGAGAGATTTGATAAGTCGAAATTGAAGAAGACAGAAACACAAAAAAACTCCCCACTGCCTTCAAAAGAAAGTAAGCTCAAAGCTCCTTCACCCCCATCCCCAATCCCCATCAAGCCCTCCTTGAGAAAAGGCTGAGCGGGAGTTGCCAGAGAAAAATGATCGAGGGAAGGGTGCTGCAAGATGCCAGTTTATAACTCAGCTTGGAAAGGTTAATTAAAAACTGTTCTGCTGCCAACAAACACAGAACTTTAACTTGATGGAATGTTTAATATACCACAATTATATATTCATATACTTTTATCTGTCAAATGTTCCTGTTTAATAAAAACTTTCATGAAGAAATGGCTATTAATGCTTGTAGAGTTTTTATAATTCGGAAGGATATTTTAAACGAGAGCACTATGGTCTTATACTAGGCTACCGAAACCACATAACCGACTTCCTCCATCTTTTCTTTCCGATCACAGCGATTGAACAGAAGAAGCAAGCAAGGGAATCTTAATGAGGCACGCGCCGCCATATGCACTGTACATTCCACAAGCATTGCCTTCTTATTTTACTCCTTTTAGCTGTTTAACTTTGTAAGATGCAAAGAGGTTGGATCAGTTTAAGTGACTGTGCTGCCCCTTTTTACATCAGAACTATTGACAAGGAAGGCCACACCTGCTCCTCCCTTCTGCCTGGCTGGCTGGGTGGAAGGGAAAGAACTTGCATGTTGGTGAAGGAACAACCTGGGTGGGACAACGGTGAAATCTAGAGTAAAAACAAAGCTGGTCCTAGGTGTCCTGCAGGCTGTAAAATCAATTTAATCAGAGTGTCATTTTTGTTGTTGTTGTTCAAATGATTTTACTTAATGGAATATCAATTTTTAAAATGCAAATAAAATGTTTTAAAACCTGCCTGGTTCAAGAAGTGGCTTTTCTCAGATGAAATCTATTCATAGAGGCTTGCCTGCCTCATGGTCTTGTTGTTATGGAATCAGGCCAGAGGGAAGCGACAAACCAAACACACTTGGAGGTTCAGAAATGACTATTTATTTGCACTGGTGCTAGCTCAGTGGAGTCTCCAGAGGCTGAGCGCCAGTGGGTCTTTGCTTTATATACATTTGTAGTTCTTTGTCTCCCATATATGGCATGCATACACATTCTAGACATTCTACCTTGTATGTTAAACTTCCGGGTATCTGTTGCAGTTTGGGGAGGGCAGTGGCCCGCAATCAAGCAGAGCTGGGACTCTCAGCACTAGTGGAGCCCCTCTAGAAGCTGGGGGAAGGTTGCCCACCTCTCCCATTTCTATGCACCAGGCTCCTTCCCCTTCTTCCCCCCATGGTTGCCCCTTGCTGTAGGCCAGTGGTTCTCAACCTTCCTAATGCCATGACCTTTTAATACAGTTCCTCATGTTGTGGTGACCCCAAACCATAACATTATTTTCGTTGCTACTTCATAACTGTAATTTTGCTACTGTTATGAATTGTAATGTAAATACCTGATATGCAGGATATGAAAGGGTCATTCGATCCCCAAAGAGGTCTCGACCCACAGGTTGAAAACTGCTGCTCTAGGCTGTTCCTCCCACCACTTGCTGCCAGCAACCACTGGGAGCCTGTGGATGGGGCCCAGCTCTCTGACTGGGACGATGTGCCTGGGGCGAGAGCTGAGCAGGGCTCCTGAGCCCTGAGTCCGGAGTCAGAACCTCCACTGCAGCCCTGCCAAACTGGAGGCCCTACATTCTTCTAAGCCGCATTCAGACTGGAGTCACTATAGTGTCTTAGATGATGAGGGCCGCAACCTGAGACAGCAGAAGCTTGACCGGCAGCAGACCTGCTGGCGCAGAAGCAGAAGAAACAAGTGAAATTATAGAAACTGAGGGGGCTTGCCATCTCATTGTCAGTGGTGGTCAGTGGGGTTATTACACCCCCCAGTTCTTATCTTGTTTATAGGAATGAATTCAAGCAAGACACAACAAATAACAGCAAAAGTAAATGGATATTTATTTGTGGGAAAGATATACAGTCAGATAGAACCTGAGCAGGCAACAGCTGTCCTAGATCGAACCCAGTGACCCAATATTTGGGAATGTAGAGCATTTATACCCCAAAGCTAGAATACCTCTAGGCAAGAAGCAAGTCACTCCCTCCCTCATATATTTTAAAAAAGTGTATAAGGCTCCTTCACCTAGGTGTTATGCCACCAGTTAGACCACATTCTGGAGGGCACTGAATCTTTCTTGCTCTCATAGTGGTCTGCTACCTCCATTGTCTATTTTCAGTTTGTCACATCCCACAAGAATTTCCTCTAAGTCTCAGCTACTTCTCCCAATTAACTCATGTCTATCTGCCTATTCTAACATCCCCACTCCCCCACATCAAGAGGTATCACCAAACTGCTTAGAGAAGTGGAAGGATGTATTTCTGACCTCTGGATCTACTTCCTGTGGATATAGAGACTAGTTGGCCTGACATCCCTAAATCTCTGGGAGTGCCTAGTTTAGGGTGGAGTGGATGGGTTGTGTAGCTACATCTGATGGATTTTGTGGCATGGACTGATTGAAGCGGGTAGAGGTACTAGTACAGTGATGGTGAACCTATGACACGCATGTCAGAGGTGACACATGAACTCATTTTGGGTGACACGCATTGACAGAGACAAAAAATTGCATAATTCAAATATTTGTCTCTCGCAACGGCCAGAGTTGGGCATCACTTGAGTAATATTATTACTCACGTAACTCATGATCAATAATGCAATTCTAAAACCGGATGTAAACATGTACATCGGTGTTGCATAGCAAAGATACGTAGTGAAAACATTCAAGATACATTGTTCCAATATTGAAATTAATATAAAAAGGTTAAAAATTGCACTATAAAGAGATTAATCTTTACTCATGACATTTTATTTTTACGCCAGTGACAAAATGTCCAATTCTGGAAACAGCCTCGTTATTGTCAACATGTGCCTCGGGTAAGCTTCCCGTGCATTCGGGTGCATTCGGCAAATGGACGCACTTGATCGGCATGTTCGTTAGAAGACAGGAGTGGGAGGGTTAGAAGAAACAGATATACAGTGCAACAGTGCTCTACGAGACATTCTGCGTGTCAGATAATTGATTACAGCACCATATATTTGTTGGTTATACATACTATCTTTGAATTGTTTTGCACCAGGAGTCAGTGCAACAACACTGCAAAAAGTTAATAGGTAAGAAACCTATCAACCTTTTATAAAAA